ATCTTCTCATACATAAACGCCTTACACTAATCAAGAAAAATAATATCACACCCTGCTGGAGGTGGAAAATTAAGGTAAAGGTCGACTGAAATTATCATTTTTCATTACAGGAATGGCAGATAACGATCAGCGCAGAGAATTTCTTGAGGAGATACAGCTAATGAAAGCCGTTGGAACGCACAAAAATATTGTTAACATGCTGGGCTGTTGCACTGTGGAGGAACCAATGTTTTTGCTTGTTGAATATATTCCTTATGGAGACCTTTTGCATTACTTGCGAAAACGTCGAGGAAAGGTATTCACCTTACGCGATGTAGCATCAAGATAGAAAAATAGCTCACTTGCACAATCGTTTTTAAATGAAACTGTGAACGAATCCTGCATCGAGGATTCCGAGTCATGTGGACACCCTTTTCGGTGTCATTCCTCTACTGAAAGACGTGAGATCAGATATCTCGAGTAATAACCTGAGATGGACTTCCTTACGAATAAGGGATAATTTGCTGAGGGGGGACTTTAGTCAAGTTGATCTTTTTTAAGTAATCAATTAGAAGATTTTGTCTGTTTCATTTCAAAAAATGGCGAATTTCGAAACAGTTATGAATCTAAAGAAATAAAGAAAGATGTTTTTCGTCTAATAAAACAAAACAAACAAAACCCTTCCTTTCTTTCTGTAATAAATTCATTCTGATCTGTGTATATTATTTATGTGTAGTAATGGAAAATTATTCTTAAAAAAGTTGATGACAAACTAAAATATGCAGTCCTAGAAAGTTAACAGGAAAACAGCGGCAATAAGGGTAACAGTAACATAAAAGGTTTTACTGAAAAAGAGAGTAAATGCAGCAAAGCCAAAAGAAATTAAACGAGTCAGATCTTAGTCAGACCTTAGTTTTTCCCAGCGAGAGCTTTTTAAATTTTCAAGCATCAAACTGATCAGGTAAGAAGTATGGACGGGAACAAGTGCTTGTTAATTGCTTAACTGTGATATCTTTGTGACCAACTAAGGATAGCAATCAATTTCATCCTCCTCCTTTTTTTGATTTCAACCTCTTCCGTTATGTCCATACCATTTCCTTTCAGACCACAAGGAGTGACTGCATTTATGTTAACAACACTGATGCACCAAAAGGTGACGATGGAAATATTCAAATTCTATCATTTACACAATCTGCCAAAATAGAAGAGAGAGGGAGAGAAAATTTAGGAATGAACCAAGATGAAGTTCATGAAGACGCGGAAGACGACGAGGAGACTCTCACCCCAGGAGACCTTTTAGCATTTGCCTGGCAAATCAGCGAAGGAATGGTGAGACACTGATTCATTTGAATCAACTCAGCAATAAGTTGATGCTTACCTTGCGCAAGGCATTAACAATTGGCTAAATTGTTCGGAAAGTCACAAAAGTGAACATCGGACTATTCTCTTAAAAAATATCACACTAACCTTGAGTTAGCGAAGGATTAAGTGATGATTTTGAAGAAGGTCACTAATAGGCACAACAGGATTTTCTATCTTTATTGCTTGACCCTGTAGTTGACTTGTTCTACGCAAAAATGGACTAGCGTTTACGTGCTCGAGCGTGAGTTATTCTAGAGATTTCCTGGGTTTTCAACTGTCATCGAATGTTGGGACGGGTACGAATCCACCAGCAGGTTGGGTACAAACCAATACAAACTGGGTTAAAATATGCTGAATTTGGGAACGAATCGACTGAGCACAAACCATCCGTGGATACGATACTGTCTTATCATTAGAAGTACTACACTAGAAACGCATGAATCAAATATCATCCCCGATAACAGATCGAAAATTGGAAGAGGATATGTGGAATAAGCACTTAAGGTCATCTGTAAGAAAAGTGTTGTATCACAGCGGTAGTTTTTCTTGCTTCAGTTCTTATTATTCGCCAAAAAATATGGAGCTAGGTCAGGTTTAGTCTTTTTGAGTGAATGCGTATACTGGTAAAGAGGTTGTTTCTGTCATGGATGAACTCTTCTAAATTCTTATTTTTGCTTTTAATCTTGCAGGAGTATCTGGCAAGGAAAGGATTCGTGCATCGTGATTTAGCGGCCCGCAACGTGCTTGTTGGTGATAATAAGATAGCGAAGGTGGCAGATTTTGGTCTGACTCGCCACGTTTATGAAGAGAAGGTTTATCATGCAAAAAGGAACCGAAAACTTCCCTTGAAGTGGATGTCAGTTGAGGCCATCTTTGATCAAACCTTCACAGCTCAGAGTGATGTGTAAGTTAAAGTTTTTTTTAAAATGGCTATGATTTTTATAAGCTGTTCGTAAAAATTTAGTGACTATTGTTCATCTTATTTCAATAACTAGGTGGGCTTTCGGCGTTCTCCTGTGGGAGCTGGTAACATTAGGTAAGGAAAAAATTTCCTCAAATTCTTTTCGTTTATTGATCAATACGGTAGTCCACAAAAGCTAGTTGTACGTAGTTTTTAAGCCAGTCCAATCCAACGTAAATATGGAAGAAAGCCAATAGGACCTCACAGTAAATAGATATTCATGACATTACTGAAGAAATTCCTTTGGCATAGATTAACGATCGGTTGTTTCTCAGCAATTGGCTGAGCAAGTTTTGTTCGTGAGTTTCTGAGGCCATGGAGCACTGTAGCAAAGCCAAAGCAATATCGTGTGTGGGCCGGACACGTAAAGCGGCAAAAAGCACTTAAGTAACACAAAAACAGCCTCTTATACACAACGAGTTTATTAAGAACGGAGAACTTCATTATTCACTGGCACAACAAACGATGCCGACATTCATCTTGAATTACAACCTTGTAGCAAGCCCTGCGAAACCTGCGAAGCATAACAAACATTACCTTGCGAAGCAAAACCCTAAACAGAAACTATCTAACAACTTACCATGATGATGAAGGGACGGCATAACCGAGAGAAATCACAGTTTTAGCATATCATAAACGAGGGCCTTACTACGTGCGATGCGAGTGAACAAGCTACTGAAGCACTTTGGTCTTACGCGTACAACAGTGGAATGGACTTAACATTAACGACTTCTTGAGGAAAAGCCGCAACAGCGTTGTACTTGTTTGTGCATTTTTACTTCAATGACTATACCAACTCATTTTATACTGAAAATTTCTTATGCGACCTCTTGCAGGCGGAACACCATACCCTACAGTAAACAACAGAGAGTTGCTTCGTCTTCTCAAAGATGGATATCGGATGGAAAAGCCAGACATCTGTAACGATGAAATGTAAGTAGCCATGCAGGTTATTTTTGTTTGACTTTAAAACATTGATATCTCACATAAATAGAAATTCCAGTATTGATAGCATCGAAAGGGTCTCAGTTTGCAAGAAGACAGCATGATCTGTCTTTCACCTGGTTTAATACCAGTTGACAAAGAAACGGAAAACAGTTTCTTCTTTAGCTGAGTTAAGCTGGGCGATGAAATCATTTCAATGGCTCAATTTACGATATTACTTTGCTCTTACTGTAATATGATTTTAAATTACAACAATTATCATTTAATCAAATTTATAAAATGCAACGGATGAGGAATTATCAGCATCTGAAGAAACTCTGAAGCGACTAACACCCCTAAATCGAACCACTACAGGTACAAAATGATGAGGGAATGTTGGTTGGAAAATCCCTTCGACCGACCAACTTTTACCCTAATCCGAGAGAGACTGGAGGAGATGATGCAGAAAGACAACCCATATTTGGACCTCAGCGTCCTCGATGAATCTCAGGATTGTTACAATGTGCCGTCTTTTAACAGTTTAGTAGATGAATCTGAAGATGAAGTGTTTGACAAAGAAGAAGGCTATGATTTACTTGAAGAGGACCATAAAGAGATAATCAATGACAAAGATCAGCCTATCAAGGACTCGAATAAAAACGAAACTGCTTCTTCGCCAAAATCTTCAAAGTTTCCAGGAGAGGAAGAAAATGACGAGCCAGTTGATGTAGACAAGATTGACTTTAACAACATTGCTTTTCAGAGTAATGACTTAAATAATCTCAAGGAGGTAAAGGTAGATTTTGACGCTCTTGAAATGGCGCTGTATCGCCATGGCGGTAGGAGATTTGTCTTTTAAGAAGAAATGCTGAGCCAAGGGAACCCCGAGAAAAGAACTCAAGCTGATCAAAAGTAAGAAAGAATCCAACAAGAAATTTGATATCTATCTTTAGAATTATAGTACCTAAAATACTCCATATTTTGTTTCGTTTTCTCACGTCATTGTGTTTTCGTCTAAGTATTTATCAGAGAAAAATATTTGCGAAAACCCTAAATTGCAGTTTTCACTTAGGTTTTTTCACTTATATTTTTAAGTGGATTTGCGACTTACAAGTTAAACCAATACCCTTAAGACAACAGCAATTTTTGCATGATCTTTGAGAAAACTGTACACAAATACAGAAAATCCTCTTTTTCATAGTTGAAGTTATTTATGTTAAACTTTGAGAGAACATTGCTGAAAGCACGAGGAAAAAAGTTCAAAATTTGTCTATGATCGTACGTAGTATAATTATAGTAGTTGTTCGAAGCTTAACAACTAAACAGACTGATCTCGTTTTTTAATTCGGTTTTGTTTAAGCTCCTCTCTTTGCTCAGTAGCTACCAGCGAATAGATTGCAAGTAGCGTGGCCGATCAGACCACAGCATCTGCCATAAACAATTCGTATTACACAGCATTTAATTTCAATTTCTCTTTATTTTTCGGCGCTAAAGAGGCAGATTTTAGACAAACAGTTATGAATCCCAATTTAATTGGGAGTGACGCTAGTGTTAATTTTCAGCAATAACATTAGTCATTACTTCACGGGTTTATTACGAACCTACAAAATGACTAGCTCTCAGTTGGCTTGTTAACTTAGTGATAGAACACTATACCAGTATCATAGAGGTCATGGGTTCAATTCCCGCATACAGGCTTGAAATTTTTCTTTTCAGGCTTTATTTTTACCACTGCTAACTAAGTGTTCGTTACTGCGAAGATCACTCTCATGTTGAAATATTATCATTATTATCATAATTATCGATACCACTACCATCGCACGAGAAAATTAAATTACCAGAGCAAGAGATTATAATCTCTTGTCCAGAGTTATGATGACAAATTTAGGAAAACGAAATTTAAAATTGAAATAAATAGCATAGCTAAACGAACCGTATACCAATAACGAGAAAATGCTTTTGCAGTAAAATTAATTTAGGCCAAAATATTCCTTTTGTAATTATCCAATGATGGAAAACCGAACGTAACCAGCAGGATCTGGCTTTCTTTTGTATTAAATAAATACCGCTAAAAAGTAGCTTATAAAAGACATTTCAGGTCTTATGAATATCCTAAAAATTGGGAGGGATTTAAATAGAGTCTTCTCAATTCTTTTTGCTCTATTTTATAACCGAAAAAAACTTTAATTTTCGAATAAAGATGTTTTAGATTGAAAAGTTGAGATTTTTTCCAGACTTGAAATGATTGTTCAAAACAAAAAAATAAACATCTGATTTTCTGAGTGATTACTTGATGTAAAAGAGAAACAAATCTCAGTTTTATTTTTGCACTTAGGGCCCTAAGATATGTAGCGTCTTGTTTGGACAATAAATATAATAAGGGGGAATAATGAAACCAAACATGACAAGGTTTCCGCTACTTTTAATAACATGCAAACGCGTTTTCTTGAAAGAGAAGAGTTTTTATCTTATCACTGGAGCCCAACAATTGTGCACGCATGTTCTACAAGAGGCTCTAACAAATCAGACATGCTCTTGATAGTGAGTGGAAACTCGCCGCCACCATCGCTCACTTGAGAAACAACCGTCTGCAATACAACAAGAAAAGTTTCTAGCGATCAGTGAATAAATCGTGCTCAAGCGAGAACGGAGGAACAAGAACAAAATTGTGGGAATCATCATATTTCAATTGAGATTGCAAACTGAAAAAGCCGGCGACATTTAAATGAGTTACCTAACTGAATTCATTCTATGCAACTTTTCTGAGCAGATGTAACCCGAAAAAAACGGATTGGGCCAACGGCCTGCTGAAATTAACGCGCTTCACTAAGGGCGGCGACGCCGTGTTGAGAAACCTCAAGAAGAGATCAACCCTTATGATCTCCTGACCTCACTTTGTTCACTAAACTCCACTGAACAATGTCGTCGAAACAAGAGTTCAAACTGGCTAACGCTTTCTTTTCTGTCAACACAGCAAAAGAGACGCTGGCGAGCGGTTTAAGAAGTTAAGCCACGGGATTTTGTTAATGAAAAAAATTAAGCAAAAAAAATTTGACCGACTACTCTGAAAAAGTGTTTAAGATACATCAAATGACGGTCCAGCATAGAATGAAACCTTTTTCGGGAAAAATGTCCTCGGTTACTTCTATAGAAATTATGAAATATCACAGTCGGTGCAACTATTCAACGTCTTCGCTGAAAAAATTCCTTCCTAAGGACCTGATGCGGTCATTGTTGTGACGGTTCTGACGGACAAGCTTCAGTATTCTCATCGGTGCCCTTTTATTTGATTTACATTCGAAACTAGGAAAGATGAAGAATAGGAAAAAAGATATAATTTCATTGTAACTGTACTCAAGCAGGAGGCGGCTGAGGCTAAAACTGACCCTACCTGAATATTTACGATGACCCGAAAAAAAACAAGTCCCAAGAAGAATTTCCAGTTTGATAGAGGAAGACCGTTTCCAGTGAGATCACAGTACAAAGACAGCAATGCCTCTTCACTAGGTATCCCCTCTGAGTAATAACCTACAAAAAATATTTCCACTCACTTAATCGCTGAATTATTATTCGACAGAAATTCTGAATTTTGTTTTCTCCGAACGAGGATTTTAGAATGTAAAACTGGCAAGATACATTTGCACATAATTGATAAAAAGGTCATCTGTTCCCAACGGCTGGACATCCATTTAAACTTACGAAGATATTTCCACTCATTCAATCGCTGAATAACTCTTTGACACAGAATTTCCGAATTGCGATTTTTCCGAAATAGGATTTCACAAAATAAAAATGGTAATATTCAATTGTGCGAATAAAGGTCATTCGTTCCGAACCGCGGGATAACCATTTTAAACGATGCTGTCCATGGCAGTCGGTAATATGTTGTTTCACCAAGTTTTTTCTCTAAAGAAAACATCAGACATCTAGATCAGACTGACGATCAGTTAAACTCCTTCCATACTTAGTTATCCTCTGGGAATTGTTGAAATTTCCTGTTGCTTTATTTACAGACTCCTTTTGTGAGTCAATTAATTAATTCACTTGTGTTTTTTCCTCTTTGCTAGGATACCAGTAGTACCCTTGTTAAGATTGTCACTGCGCATGCACAACACATAGGCTATGCGCAAGCTCGTCGACTACGCGTCACATGACACCAGAGGCGAGAAGTATCTGGAAGCGGCTTCTCGTTGGTAACAACTTCAATACAAGGATAATATCTATCTTAAAGTCATCTTTAAATCTTAAAAAAACTCGTTTTACCAATCTTTCCAGCAGGCATAAATTCCAACGCAGCGGGAAAATGGAACGGAAAACAGAAATATGCCAGGTCCTCAAATGGATGCCCCCAGCATGCCCCTTCCCAGTCTATCACGGCCAGCGCCTGAGGCTGAAACAGGTAGCACGATTCGGTCATAAAGTGGTCGGAAAAAGATATAAATAAAAGGAGCGGTTCGGAGATCATATTATTAGGAAAAAGGCATGTCCTGATTAAGCACCATATAATAAGTAAAATTAGTCTGGTGTCAATCGTTCTATAGACACTTACACCCTGGTTTACTAGTTAGTTACCTGTGAGTGTTTGTTTGTTTCATTAGTTTTATTGTGTACCAGTAGTTGATGTTTATATCGTTGCTTATTGTTATGTAACTTATGTGGAGTTCTTTGTCATGGTTTGGGTGTAAATTAAGACCTTCGGGTCAATCTTGTTATCCACTTTTTTTAAAGCAACTTAGTCGTTTTTTAAGTGCGCATGCCTGCGAAGCCATGCTCCGTTAAGGTAAAGCTATCTTATTTTACTGTAATTGTATTTGTAAGCTTTTGTTTTCTTGTTTTTTTTTTTTTTTCCTACTCATGTTTAGTACCGTAGGCGTGTAGACAGTTTGAATAAATGATGAGCACAAATATTCGTAACTTCGGTTAACCTCCATAAGGATCGAAGCAATTGCATTTAACATTTTGTAGGTAGAGTAGCTCACATAAAGATGCCATACATAACGTACGATATGAAAAGACATAAAAAAGTTCCAGCTACGCGGGATACTTCCGAAGAGTGGTCTGCCCATATCACAAACCTCACCTCAAGATTGCACTCACTAAAAAGTTTGAGAAGCCCAATGCACTGAGGATCGAGTCGCGCTCTTTCCTTGCCACAACTAAATAGAAGCAGGTGTTCTCATCCACCGAAACGACAGTTTAATCAGCTTACCTTTTAATTGGGAGGTTATTTGTGTCGAGATCCATACATGAGTACAAACATATTGCATTGTCTTATGAGTTAGTGAAACAAAATGCAAACATATTGTCTAAAAAACATTCTCTTAATTACCTCATTTGGGTGCCAAAGTATATTTGAAATTCTGAAATCTTCGTGATGGATGACTGCAAGTCAAATACCAACCATTAGAGGTTACAAAGCTTCGATTATCAAAGATAAAATTTGAAAGAGATTTTTGGGCTAATCCTTTGTTAAACCGTTGTTCCCTCGTCCCAGTCCTTCTCTCTCCCCCCCTCTCTCTCCCTCTCTCTTCCCCACCTCCGTTACCTCCTGACTCCCTCTTTTAACTCCCTTGCTCACCTGTTCTACCACACCCTCAACTTGTCGCTCTTTTCCTACCTCCTTTCTCTACCTCACTGCTTCTCTCGTTCGGTCCGTCACCCTGGCTTCCTAGCTCCCAGGTTCATTCGTCCTCAGCCCCCCTCCGTCCCCCTTCGCACCTCTTCCCTCCACTCCTCTCCCCTTCCTCACCACTCACTCTCTCTCGTTCACTTTCTCCCTTCCTCTTTCCATCGCAAATATCATAGGAGAAGCTTATATCTATTTTTGCGAAGATTACGAAATGTCGAATCAAGAACAGTTTCACAACGTTTCTTACCAGGTTTCTTGCCATCGTTGGGTTTTTTGTCTCTCAGCCACTCCATTAATCGATGAGCTTTAGGATTGGACTTCCTTTCTGTCTTTTTGTAAGCTTCAAACAGCATATCCATCTGAGAGGCAACATATTTTCCCCATAATTACGTGATAATTAATACTTATAATTCCCTCTCTTTTAAGCCCTTACTATCAAGCTCTCCTTTTAAACAAACTCCCCTCTCTCACATGCCCCCTCTTTAACAAGCTACCGCCTCTAACAGGCTAGACCTTCTAGCCAGCCTCTAATCTAAGACGTTCCCCAATGTGATAACTACTTTTTCTAACAAGCTGCCCCTCCAACAAGCTACCCCTTCTTACAATTGCAACCTACTCCCTCCAACAAGCTACCCCCTCCGACAAGCCCCCTTTGCTAAGAAGCCCCATTGCTAATAAGTTTCACTCTAAAATAATCCCACTCTCAAATAAACTTCCCCTCAAATAATTCCCCTTCTTTGATTGCTCCTCTGCCCAAGAACCCGTTTACATTATACCTCCCCGTCCGAAGTTTCAAGTTTCTAACAAGCTCCCTCCTCTAGCGTCCAAGCATTTCTTGAGGGAGAGCTTTTTTTAAAGTTTTACCCACCCTCTGTTTTAAGACGTCTTCTTTGTCATCGATTCCTTCTAAGGTAAGCTGATCCGTATCTAGAGACTGAAGTTGCGCCAAGGCGCGTATCGCAGCTTCAAAAATGGCTTTTGTCTGGTCCGCAGGGACGCCGGGTAAATTGGCATCCGGGAACTGACGACCCTGTTGAAATGTAATGTTGAAATGCTGTCCATCACCATTTATTATTCGACATACGTTAGACATAGGATCGTTCACTGGAAGTCGCATTGTACCATTTTGACCCAAAAAGTATAGCTACAATCGAGAATTGAGACTCAAGTGGAACAGTTAAACAGACTTTGCAATAGCTGCTGGCTAGCATAACGTTTTCTCTTACCGAGCCGATTTACTCGGAACCTATACTTTGTGATTGCAGTCATTGCAATTGTAATTGCGGTTCGAATTTTGCCGCGAAGTCAATCGACTAGCGATTCAATGATAAACAAATCCTGACTTTCCTGCATCTTTTCGTGTCTCCTACCTGAATTTGAAAATCCTTAGTTCCCCAGCGCCTTTAGGAAAATCCACCAGATTTTTTTTCAGGAAATCGTGAGGTTTTGAGCTATCAAACGTTTGCTCCTCCATTCTTTCTCTGTCAAGTAAATAACTTTCGTGACAAGGCACTTTTAGTTTGACGTCAATGGCGTTACATGACGTAATTTCATCACCCGTCAAAATATGTGAATAGTGGGTTCTTATGTTCCTCTCTATCATTCACTATTCCACATCTTTCAAACACCGCGCGAAACTAAACAAATTTTTTAATGAAGAATTACGTTTCACCCTCAAAACCTTCTCACGTCAACGTTCATTGCCAAAAGATCAACGGGATTTGAGAGGAAATGAAGTTGAATAATGACTGTCAAAGCGTAGTCCACAATACCTTGCAGTCCTTTTTCTTAACATACTAAAAAGAATACCTCGTCTGTCTCTGTAAATCGACATTTAATCACTTAAATTCAAGTTTATTTTAACGCCGCATTTAAATTGCGCTTTCTTTGTAAAATGAACAGAAATATATCTACAAAACTCAAAAACTGGTCAAGGAACAACTTTTAAATTTTACAATTCACTTAAATACTTTACTCGTACACTACGGTCCAGAATAAATATTTTTGTTGTAGAGAATACGTTCACATCTTTTAAAATTTTGGAAGCAGAGATTGTTGAAATCTGTGTCAATATCGCCTAGGCCTGGTTCCACAGTCCACCCTCTCTGGTAGATCACAGTTCATTGTATCGGCACGGAGGAGCTGGGGAGGGGAGCACTTCTGACGGTGGGCTTTACCGATGTTGCAGATGATGAACCCCGCGCAGTCGTCAGGGTCTGGGTACGTACCACTTTTTCGATTTGCACAGAAGTCTGAACCAGCTTAAAAACAAAAACCAAAAAGCATGAGTGTCAGAAGTTCATATCTAACACAACTAACCACAACAGGACAAAGAAAATGTTTAAGTGTTGTTAAATAGTTCTTGCCTTTGTGAAAAGGTTCATCGACCAAAAAGTCACACCAAGACAAAGAACCCTACCTGCTCCTCCCCCAGAAGCTGTGCCAGGGGCTGTGACACCTCCTCCCCCTGTGGATGGTGATGGGAGAGGGGAGGGTGGGGGTGGAGGTGGAGGGCGAGGGGGTGGCTGAGGGGAGCTTGGACCACTGCCTTCACCTGGAACTAACACAAAGAATTACGTCAGAGTACTTAGCATTAAGTGACGTTAATTTTTACGGAAAAGCTAAACCCTAGCTCACACATTTATTTATGGTTCCATACTTAAGGACATAAACGATTTTGCAGAAACCCCACTAGGTATCGAAAACACGAACAAACAAACCGAAGGGAAGAGAAACAGATAAGGAGTCACACAGACAGAAAGAAAGACAGACAAGCAGTGCGACAGAAAAGCTGGCAGTTAGACCTGGAAAGACGGTCAGAGAGAGAGAGACACCGTTTGTTGGTGTTTTTGGTGTCTCGTCTCGTTGGTGTCTCAGTGAGTCTAACAAACATATGTTTCTCCAACATTCAAAATATTTCAAAAGTATTAAGTTATTCCATTAGCAGGAGAACATCAGCAACTCACCCATTCCCCCCGAGGGATAGGGTGGTTTGTTTCCTTGACCCGCGCATTTGATACTTGATGGGCCGGCTGCAAGAAAGAAAAAACAAAAAAACGCAATGATGATAATACTAATAATCATAATCATAATCATAATAATCATAATGATAAAAATAAAAGCAATGATTATGGCAATAATAATGGTAATAATGATAATTTGTGAACACATAACTCTCCGACACATCGCTGTATATTATAGAAAAATTCACTACCTGAGAAGAGAAATCGATGATTTGTTTCGGAGTTTTGGCTAGCAGGTTTGACTTATTTTTCCTCTTTCAGCTCCCAGAAGTCTCTGATGATAATGATTACCCACCACAAAAACTCGAAAACATAGGTAAGGCTTTTGAATTCAATCTCGTTGGAGAGCACAACACAAGATTTTATGTCAATCTTTAATCGACATTTAAAAAAAGAGGACGGATTGACACCCTATCTATCCGACCCCCACGCCTCACCCCAACATCGTACCTCCAGCTCCAGATCCAGAAAACTGCACATTACTCATTATATTATTATCGCTTTGCATAGACTGTAAGACCGCTTCCCGCTGCTCTCCCGTCACCGCCGTCACTCGTACAGTCATGGGAAAATCCACTTTACCCAGGCGATCTCCCACAAAGTGGTTGTCACTTGTCCGTTTCAGACAAGAATATTTTCCGTTCTTTAAAATTTCCATCCCAGCAACTGGAACCCTTCAAGTAAAGAAAAAGCCATGCAAATACAAATTTTGGATTTTAAATGCTTTTGTTTTTAGCTTTCTTTGTACTCAGAAAATTTTTGGTAATTTTAGCTCTTTTGTGAATAGAATTAGAAAGATGGATAAGATAGCTTTGGTAAAGAAATAGAGAAAGGGGGCCTCGCTCACCATGGAGTCTCTGTGGCTCAGTGGTAGAGTAATGGAGCGTGGAATCCGAAGCTCTGAGGCTCGATTCCTCATGGAGATTTAGAATTTTTTCTTTGTCCTACGCTCGTGACAACACGAAAAAACATCTTTCTCTACTACAGCTCTTTTATCCAAGAAAGATCTTTCTCTGGGTAAAATTTATCTCTAGAGTGCAAGTTAAAAGTACTTTCAGTCAAAAGGACATTAATTTTAAATCATCACAAAACACGAAAGAAAACGTGAAAACGGAGATTTATAACACAGATGTTCTTGAGAAGCACATAGTCAGAGAGAAAGCCTCATTAACTCATACCCCATTCAAACCAGCAAAACTTGTTTAGATAAATCGGGTTTAACAGAATGAAAATCATAAGTAGAAATTAAAAAACCGAATTTCAATGAGATTCAAGTAATCGCCAACTTTTAATTTCAATGTGCTACATATGAAGCCGACGAAAATCGGTTTAAGTAGCTTCTATGATGAGAAAATGTCAAACAGTTTTTAAAAAAAAATTATCACAGTTGTCCTGCAAATCTGGTTGTAATGATAAAGGATTGAGGAAGGAAAAACTTACTTGGTGTTTCTAGCTTGAAGTTTAACATACCAAGGGTTATTTTCAGTGAATCGAAACATAATGTTCCCATTCTTTCCCGGGACAGTGGGACAGTCAATGGCTTTTGTTTCGATCTCCCATCTGCCGTCACCCGGGATGTACAGGTCATAGCCACCTGTGTTGAATAAAAAATGAGTAATCACTGATACAGAACAGCGTCTGATGATTTAGTTCGGTGTGGGTGACTCATAAAGTACCTATTTGGATTTTTCAGATTACCATGACAGTTATTTGGTCTCCATTTGTAGATTTTGGGTGTGTAGAGCCTTGGCTCAGGAGACGAAGAGGTGGTTCAGTGGTCTGGGTTCCAGCTCTGCTCAGTTCACCGCGTCGTTTTCTTGGGCAGGTTCTTTAACCTTATTTCCCCTTTCTGTGCCTCCTACAAATCATCTTATAACCACACAAATCTAAACTACCTTTTTCACATCCGCCACACAGATCATGAACAACGGCTTTTATGACTCCAGTGACAGGATCTGACCCACTTCCTATCCCTGAGCCTTTGATTTCCACGCACATTCCACAGCCAAGGGAGTTCTGGAAGTCATATGCACCGGCCGCTACTCGTATCCAGCCAGGCTGCGAGGACATTGGGGAGAGTGGATCCAAGGAGCATGCACCACCTCCGGGATAATCGCCATAGTAGGTAGCCTGGAAACAAGAGAAGTTTGTAGTTAAAGAAGCTTCGCTATTTTACTGTGAATTTCTATACATGTGATTTCTGCTAACTCAATCGAAATTGTGAGACAGCGAATATAAAACATGAAATCGAGAAGAAAAAGTCAATGATTTTTTTAGGCATGTTTTGGACTTGACACTCGTATTTGTTTTTTGTTTTTTCGTTTTTTTTTGTTACGAGCTTCGATTTATCTTATTGTGAACTACCAAGGCTACGCTACGTTCTCGAGTTGAGGATGGGATACGCACTCGCAGCAACGAGCCCATTGCTTCATTCTCTTTCGGTCGTATTTTCTTTCATAAATTAGCAAATGAGTACCATAATGTTTTGGAAATCGTTTGTTTATTGATAAAACTATTTCGTATTTGTTTATTTCGCCGTAAAATGATATCAAATACCTCCAGAAAAACGAGTTGTGTTTTCTTACCTCCGACTTAAAAGTCGCTTCATATCTGTTGTATATATTTTCAGCATTGGATACATCAGTGTCTCGTTTTTGAACAACATGGTCCTTTAAAATGAGAAATAAAAATTGAAAGCAATCACAGGAGAGGTGATTTCAGATCGTTCTTTAAATTTTCTAAACGTGACAGGTTACCTCTTCAAGGGTGTTAGCGGAAATTTCCTCTACATCTGTGCAAGTTATTTGCTGGAAATAAAAGAGAAGTTTTTATAGATTCTTGATTACACTGTTATTTAAATTGCTAACCACTTCTTCGATTTAAAATACGGCTCATCGCCTCGTTGAAAGCACCGTGCCAAAAATGAATTCTCACAAAAGTGACATACATTGTACGAACTTAAAAACTACGGCATCCTTACCTTTAGACAAAAGCAAATGACAAGGACTGTCAGATGTTTGCCAAGTCTTAGGTTTATGTCCATCGAAACACTGCTAGACTTAAACAAACGCCATAAATAAAATTAATGGCTACTTATACGGTTTGTTACTTTTGTATTTACCATAGAGTAGTTTGATAGCGTTCGCACGAGCTATTACCTTTACGGCGTCCAGAGTTATAATAACTTGCATCGAGTCAGTAAATTTAATTGCTTAGGGTTGCCTTTTTTCTGTTAAACAAAGGCACTTAGAATACATTCAAGCCACAAAAAAAATAATAATTATCATATTTCATTACTGTCGCTTGGAACAGGTGATGGCATTGTAGATTCAATTGAAGCGTCAAGTATTAAACGACATGTTTAAACAAGCGATTAGAGTAATTGAAAGTTAAAACAAATCGTTCATTGTGAAACAATATCTGTAATAAAGAAGATGACTAAAACGTAACAATATTCAGTCACAATACGAAAAACAGGAACCGTAAACAAACTCTAATAACAAACATAGGGATGAACCAACAGCAAAATTGAAAAAAGAAAACCCTACTATATCGGTTTGACGTCGTACCTCAAGGCTATTTTTAAAAAAATATCGCATTTTGAGACTTCTTCGGTTCTAGATTGCACAAACCCTCACATCGACCACGATACATGCATCCTATGTACTAATCACTTCAACGTAGCTTTCGTAGAAAACTACTGCGGATTAAAGTAGTCCTAGTAATGCTTATTTCAGGTATTTTATTGAGCGAAAAACACCCTACAAGGTACCAGCTAGGTCTCTGGTAGTCCACTGAAGTTTGAGACACCGTAAAAGGTACCAGATCACTGATTTTGACCCCTGAAAGGTACGACAAGCATCCTCACCCATTTCTGATTGCCTGGGCTCTTGGCAAAAAGTAATACCCAAGCGTAATATAGTAACCGAAACAGCTCATTGGTCTAATAAAATCATAAGTAAAGAAGGTAAGAGTGTTATGTTAGATTTTTTTTACAAATTGTAGTGATTTATGCCAATAAACGGTGGCGACAAGCAGGCACACCATGTATATTTCATAGTCGCTGGCAAGTAAATTTTGCCGGACTTTGAGTTCGTCTCACGATAGAACAACACAAATACACAAGGAAATTTTACAGTAACTTTGTAACCATCCTTTTGTCTTTTAAAAGCTAGAAGCTCAGTAGATTCTGTCATATCGGTCATTGTTAATACTGTCTTTGTTTTGATGCTACTTTCGACATAGAAAAAGTACGTTGGACAGAAATATTCACCAAAAAGTAACTATTTCTTTGCCAGCTTCAATAAAGACAGGGGATTAAGTTTAGATGATAAAACAAAGGATTACATTGACGGAAATACCGGAGGTCAAATGAATTCATTGCATGACGTCACACAACGTGGGTAATATTCACGGTGAAAATTTGCATATTTGAGCGGTCGAACGAAAAAAATCTTCTCTCGAAAACTAAAATATATTTTCACAAAAAAACTACAGCACAATTAGGACATATTGAGCTACAAAATACGAAAGTAGGAGTGAAAGCAAGTTTTGGGTGACTTGCCGCTCTTTGTCTGATGCATGTTGACATTAGCTGTTAAGTTGTGCTACAATAAGATTTCTTGTTATATTGGTCTGCATGAGGAATGGTTCCTAATAAATTAAAGTTCACACGGCAACCAGGTGGAAAATCAGACATGGTTTGATGCTACTCTGGTTTACAGATTTAATGAATGTAACTGAAGAAAGAAATAACGTCTTCGGTTACATTCATTAAATCTGTAAACCAGAGTAACATCAAACCATGTCTAATGGTTCCTAATTCTATTTTCTTCGGCCTATATGGAAATCTAAACATGTGCAGATTTATTGTCTGAAGTTATTTTTTAATCATTGGTAGTAGCGCAATTAATTTGGATGGGTTTCTGGAACACAAAGTTTAAAATTGCCGACGAGGTTTGCTCAAGGATTCTTCTCAGAAAGGTAATAGAGGCCAGTGAGTTTTAAATCAATATTTCACTTTAGTGTTAGACTCGAGCCTGTGAACTCGGCCTTCGAGGTCAGGCTCTGCGCCATACTATAGCAGGGTAGAGTTGAGCTCCTGTATTGCCTGATTGGTTATATATATATTGAGTATGAAGAGACCTAAGCTAAAAAGAATTTAATTTTCTCTAATCACCTCACACTTTTAATTTGCCCCAGAGTTGACAGGAACTGACAATCAAACGAGAAGGATATCTGACACACTGTCGTATGTTGTTCATCCGTCGAGGGTCGATGTACTAACAAGGCCACACTCATATTTCAGAGCTGATGTATCTATACTCATTCTTGGCTTTTCATTTTGACTAATCTATGCTACAACGGATCGTTCAGTTTTTCGTGTACCACTCTTTACAATTCGTGAACGAGTGAAAGTAATCGAAAATGGGAGTACCCATCAGCCAGGGAGAAAGAAAGTTCAACGTAAATGCCACGTGGACCTTTTCATAACATGACATTAGTTTTCATTTTCCCACTCTATTAATTTGAATTTCAAATTTAGGGAGCTTCTTTGTTTACAACTTGTTCGTCGATCAATTGGGGAATCAAAGATATCCATGTACCTCTTAGTAAAATTCAGTTACACACTGGTGTAGAAAAATTTAGGAAAGATTCTCTGGAAAAAAAGGAAAGTAAACATGGTTGATCTTCAATTATTTTTGGTGTGACTAGTTGCTCCTGATCACTTCTGCAGAAAAAAAAGCAATAAAAGAACTTGAATCATTTTCATGTTTTCAGGAGCCTACGTCAGGGTTTTATACTTGGGCACTCAAATATATCACTTCATTTGTTGCGGACCTTCGATCTATCACAGGCGCTGAACACGATCATTGTAAGTTGAAAACACGATTCGAGATGTTTCGTAAATCGAACTTAAATTTCGTCTTAATTTGCCTCTTGCTCCAATCCACCGCCTCTGCGAGCGTAAAACCCAAAAATTTCAGCGGCGTTAAGTCCAATTTCAGTAACAGTCACGATTTACCAGAGACAGTGGACCAAACTTTTAACATCAACAACTGAGGGCTTGGAAAAATTGAACGAAAACTGCTATTGGACATCAAAGCCAAAGTTGATTCATTCTTCTCCAAATGCAAAGGTATGTTTGAACACCTTAACATAGGCGCGTCGACGGGTAAAATTATTTCTATGGTTCTAGGAAAATTCTTACGCAGCAGCTTCATGATATTTTTGTTGCAATTGTCCCACTTCTGTTTATTGTTATTTCAGCGACCGTTTCAGAGTGTCCAAAAGGCTGGGTTTCGCGTGGAAAGTCATGTTACCTCGTGATCGACGTTCGAGTCTTGAAGTGGAGTGAGGCGCGAAGAACATGCCAGAATTTGGGAGGAGACCTTGCCGTCATCAAATCTGCCAATGAAAATAAATTCATCTTTGACTTAGTGAAAAAGCAGAAGACAGTCACACCCTATGGCGTATGGCTTGGCCTCTACAGGAAGGCAGACAACAAGTTCTACTGGGTAGACGGCACTCCAGAGGCAGGGCAGTATTCTGCTTGGGCAAAAGGGGAACCAAACTCTTTTTCCGAAAAGTGTGCGCACATGTATGGAGCCACGAGCCGCCAGGGAACTTGGAATGACACAGAATGTAACAAGTCGTATTCAAGCGGTAATCCAGTAGTTCTTTGCCAGAAAAAGGCCAACTGAGGTAGCTGCCAATACCTTTGTCATTGATTTTTATTAGTGCAGTCAATCGTTGCAAGATTCCATTAGAGATACAGATAACATGACGTATTGCCTGTTAAACCTTTGATCCTGTTGAGAATAAACTTGGTGATGGGTGAAAGCTGACGTGTGTTTCAATCTTAAATTTCCTAGAGTTTTTTTTCACTCATTTCAAATGGGATGGGGGAAGGTGACAGGAGAGAAGCACTCATTGAGTCACATTCTCCTCGATCTTCCAAATTGAAAAAAATAATACAAACAAACAAAAACCTTAAATCCGCAGGTGAATCAAGAGTCATTTCATGTTCACTGCAACCAGATCACCTCACTCGAAATATCCATCTGGAATCGACCCCGCAGTTTAATCTGTTTATATGATTCGGAAGTTAAAAAATAGAAAAATTTGAAAATATGGCGTTTTTTTTTATTACATTTCGAAGGAAGGAAAATTCCCGTAAGACGTGCCAAATCAGTGCAATTTTGCACTGATATATTTGTATGAGCAAGCACCACCCCAGATATTTCTTTGTACTAATCAGTCCAAAGTCCTGCTTTGACTGTCACTGGTTTTTTGTTTAAATCATCCACTAGACTAGTATCTCTTATCACCTTGTAAGAATGAGTAAGGAAAGAAAATTATCGCGATAGGAATCGGACTCGATCAGTAAGAAAGAAAACTATGTGTAGCCTCTAGTCACTCTGGAGCGCTGTCCACTAAACATCTTGGAACATAATGATTGTAGATATATGAAAATCATATATGTGCACTGCGGTGAAGAAACGCATATAAGAGATTCTCGCAGCCATGAACACTACTGAACTAGTATTTGAAATAAGACCTGAAAAAAATTCAGGGCCTGAATTCGTTTCTTCCCCGCAGTGCACATATATGATTTTCACTTGGATGGTTTATTTGGACCAAACATAATGAGCTGCTCCCAGTTGGCTTGTTAGCTCAGTTGTCAGAGCGCTGCACCGGTGTCGCAGAGGTCATGGGTTCAAATCCCGTACAGGCCTGAATTTCTTTCAGGTCTCATTTCAACTACTAATTTAGTAGTGTTCATAGCTGCGAGGATCTCATATCTTAAAACATCTTGAACATCTTCCTAATTTGTCTGTGGCTAATTTCAGTTTTCGTTTTAAGACTTAAATGGTGGATAGATTTCCAAAGCTTATTGGTCAGTTTTGGTGTAGTTCTGTTGCGTAAAGAAACTCGGACTTACTGGCTGACTATATATCAAGTTTTAAGGGAAGCTGGTCTTGTCATGTTTACAACCAAAATAGCGTCGTAAAAATCATTCATCAAACTTGACTCACACTTCAGTACTGAAAGGAAGTTTTGTGCAGAACACACCTCCAACATCCAGGCGCGCTTAACCTGCGAGCAATCAGCTCAACGACCCGAACGGTTTTGTCGGCTGTCGGGATAGTTCGATTTGACGATCAAAGCGAGCCGAGGAGAGGTCTGTGAAGGGACTTGTTAGCAAGCTGGGCCAGCGGCTTGAGGATCCTTGCACTCAAATGTGTCAGTGCCCAGTCTAGTATTCAAGTATTCTTAGCACTAAAAGGCACAAAATTTCCCGCCATGTTTAGTAGCGATTCAATAGAGAGTAGATAATTTGTGAATGACTTCTGAAGTATTAAAATGAAGGTTTAAGGAAAAGGAATGATCAGTAGCATGGTATACCAAGATGCTACATAATTCTTTCCAAATTTGCCTCGTCATTCCAAAATCTGAAATTTTTCAGCGAAGCTCTATTAGAAGGGTCCCAATGGGATGATGGTTAACGACTAACTTTTGTAACGCTAAAATTTCTCAATTTTTTACGTCTGACGGCAATTTTTTTTTTGCCAATTTTTGGCGAACTGTTAACTCCGTTGATACCTTCTATTCGATAGTCGAAATGATATTCACGGTTCAGTAAAGCTTTTATTTGCGGAAGAACACACTCGCACACAAATATTATTGATATACTTAACGTACGACTGTGTCCTCTGTATTTCGGTCAAGGTAACAAGCCTCGGTTTCGCTAGTTTTTACGTTGTTGAAAGCGGTCTTTCATTTGATGACATTACAAGATGAACACGCAAATCTCGCTCGTCATCCAACTATTATTTGGATCACTACTCATGAATGTATTTCAGTTTTGAAGGACTTTCATACCGCTTCTTCTATTGTAATGGGAATTTTTTAGCAGTATTATGGGTTTGATCAGTCATCTGATGACCCTCAGTGACATGCACTCTTGAAGCTCGATACATCTTCATTACTGCACAGGGCTGGTTTATTATTTTTTTGAGAGAGAGGCAGCTTGACGAAATGAGTAAATGCCCAATATAGTGTTATATTCACGACACATTCTCGTGTAAGTAAGACGCCAAAGTTATTTAATTCACCACGTGGTGTAAGGAACAGCAAAAGTACCATCTATTCAGCCCCACGTCACACCTCTCGATATAGGCATGATTCATTGGCTAAACTTAACTCCCCGATGTCAAACTCGTAACCACGGTTAACCTTTTCACTGTTACGCTATAGTTATTTTTAAATATTCGTATATCATTGTCATCTGAGCCAATAATAAAGATGAATGCCAGGTCAGTTAGGAATCACATAGGAATTTGTAAAATCAAAATCACTCTGATCGTGCCTTTGGCGCGTTTTGCATAAATCGGTACATTTATTGCTGCGAAAAAGCGGGTAGATGTCAGAAAATCCCAACAGTCAGAAGAAGGAAAATATCTAACATAAAGTCTACTAGTTTTAGGAATAAAATTGAAATTACTACGTGGTATTTCACTTTTCGCTGTAGCGGAAACTGAATCATTTTCTTGTTCAAGTTCTAATTTGCTTTTGGTTTTTTTTTATCGTCGAGGTATATATATGTATGCGGATCATGTGCTTCTTATACGAACTCATAACAGTAGGTCAGTTCACTTGTTGAAGTCTTCGCATTACTTACTGTTGTTCACACTGATATTGTCACCAAAATGTTTTGTAGTTGGGTCGTAGTTTTCATTTTTCAATTGGTGCGTTTTACTATTTCACGAGACGTCGAGCTTCAAAGTTCCACCGGTGCTACGTCCGAACTAGGTAACAAGCGTGACCCACCACGTTCTAAATTCGAAATGTTTGACTTCAAAAAATTTGGACCTGGTCCCCAAGTAGTGGAGGATACTTTTAATATCAAGAGCTGGGGGTTCGGAACGACTGAGCGAAAAATGCTGATGGACATCAAAACTAGAGTTGATTCTCTCTCTGCTACATGTAAAGGTATGATCACATTTTGAGTTGGACATATATTTTTGGGCGATTAAAACTTTTATTATCATCGTTGTTCCAGGGGCCGCTTCAGAGTGTCCTAATGGTTGGGTTCCGTTCGTGGACTCATGTTACTTGGTCATCGACATCCCAACACTGAAATGGAGTGACGCTCGACGAACTTGTCAGAATTTGGGCGGAGATCTTGCCGTCGTCAAAGCTTTCGTTGAGAACAAATTTATCTTTGAGTTGATGAAGAGGCAGAGGACAGTCACATATTTGGGTGTGTGGCTTGGCCTCCACAGAGCAGCAGACGACAAATTCTACTGGGTGGACGGTACTCCAGCGGAGGCATGGGAGTATTCTGCTTGGGCAAATGACGATCCACACTCTGTCACCGAGAAGTGTGCGCACATGTACGGAAACGGGAACAAGCAAGGAAAGTGGAGTGACATCGTGTGTGACCTGAACCAGCAGGCTCTAAGCTATTCTCCAGTCGTTCTTTGCCAGAAAAAGGCTAACTAAGGTAGCTGGTAATCCCTCTTTGTTTTGACTACTTAAGTCGACTGTCAGAGCACTTCATTAAATAAACGGTTAATATGATGTATTGCCAATTAAAATTTTGATTCTAATTAAAATAAACTTGGTGATGGATGAAGCCTGACGCACGTTTTCATTCAGCATAGTTTCCCACAGATATCTTCTCGTATATTCCTAAATCAGTGTAAGAAAGTGAGCGCTTGCCTTTTTTTTTTAATGGACACTGGGTGGGGAGTGGGGCAGCTGGAGAAGGAGCGCTCATTTTGAGAACGTTAGTCCTCGATATAAAAAATTAGAAAAAATTTAATCTTGTTAAGTTGAATGTAAATTCATATTCTCCGCAACCGGATCACCTCACTCTGGCAAAATATCCATCTACGAATCGTTTCTACCGTCTAATTTCCTTCATGCAGCTCGAAAACTTGGAAAATTGAAAAATATTGCGTTTCTTCCTTATTGATGCTTTCTGCTTGAGCAGCAGAAAAATGATTCATTTCGAACCCCGAAAAATTGTCTCCGCAAAACAAGCAAAAAAACCGTACGCATATACGCATATCTGCTGAGAGTATAGCTCTACATTTGGAATGTGCTTTTAACATTTAGCTTCAGTGGCAAAACAAATCAGGAACAATTAACAAATGAACAAGCTACCTGTGGAAAAAAATCATCAAGTCTTGCATCTCCTCGCGTTAACAATCCTTCTCAACAGAGTAATGAACAATGTGAAGATGTTTTGAGAGGCTAGAGCGAGTCATTTTGGACTATCAGAAATTTAACATGTCAAACCAGAAATATGCAACCAAAATTCCCATTGAAATAGAAGAACCGTTAGGGAAGTCGGATCAATATCAGTATCTGGGCAACTGCCCACCTACCCCTCCCTAACCCAACATTAACCTTAAATTGTTGTCAATTGACTGTTGTTGAGTTAGGGGAGGGGTGGGTGGGCAGTTGCCCAGATACTGATATTGATCCGGGAAGTCTCTAGAAAATGAAATGCCGCCGTGCATAAGGATCCAAACTAAGGCAGAATGACGAGCGATATTTTCGTGTAATGTGATTTAGTCAAAGAACGAAATAAACACATCTGAAAAAACCGAGAAACCGCCAAGTCGGAAAAACGTGGATTGTTTCCTAATGAAACTGAAATACCGAGGAGATAGTCATTTGTAAAATGTCTATTTGGGTCTACCTGTATTTTCTTCGATAAATCTTTCCTTAGTCATCGATGTCATTTCAACAGAGAGAGCTTCGCTCCATAATTCTAGATTTATAAATTATGAAGTAAATTTGTGAGAGCCCGGTGTACAACCAGGGTTGATGTTATTGATAACTCCTTTCCCTTTAACCTTAACCTTATTGTTTTAGAAAGATCGATGACTATGTCCACTCTAATTAATCGCTACTCAGTTTGGTGGGTAACTTTGAGGCTCTTTGTGTTTGGAATACTTGACTTTAGCAGAATTGACTCATTTCCATGTGTTTCTCTTTCGAGGATGCAGCGTTATTTACAGGCGGCGTTTTATGTTTTCAAATTTACATTTTTTGAATCTCTAACATCAATTGCGGTATAACGTTTGTTACCTCAAAGGGTAATATTTTTTGAGTTCCAGTTACTCTCTTGCTTGCTGCAATAGAATCGAAATAATCTGACTTGTAAAATGGAGATAAGAATGCAGGATCTGATCCTCGTGTAAACGTCGCATTCTTCTTGTTGGTCGCGACATTTATCAGAGAGCGCCGTAGATGGGAGCGAAATTGTCTTTGAACCGGTCGCCCCAAGAAACACGCCGACCCTGATTAAACGCCGGAGATGAAAGCAAAATAACGACATACTGAAAAAAAAGGAGAAAGTAATTACCATTTAGGCGAAGAGAAGATTTATGTGGCTAGGTTAAAGTAAACGATTGGAAATTGTAGTGAGCAAAAAATAACGGAAGCTTACATCTCTTTTCTCATTTATTTCATAATAATTACGATCACCGACGTGACTAGATAATTCATCGTGCGGATGGCTTGACTTTTATCTTACAGACGTTGTGACCGATTTTTAAACTTAATTCGCGCCATAGACGTAACTGTTTCAGTTCTAAACGACTCTCCTTACAAACAATACTTGTGTCGTAATTCGGCCGTGCCTACGTCAACATTTTGGTTGATGTGTGATGTCCAACGCCATCGGTACCAGACATGTTATTTCATCTCTCATTCACACTAATTTCCTCCGTAGACCGTAAAGAATCCTTTCCCATCTTAGAGTATCGTCAACCAAGCATGATCTCAACGTGGTATCGACCCCTTTCAGAGACAAAGCAAAACACCCAACTCATGACTCAAAGCCTCCTGCTTTTGTCACCAGGCCAAGATGAATTTGTAATCATCAGCAAGTTTATGACGGCCATGTCTCCTACCAGATCCTTCGTACGTTACTTCGTTTGATTGTTGAGATGTTGTTGATAGGCTCACGTAATTTTCCACGGGATCCAACCTTTTAAAACGATGGAAATATGATTTAAATGAAAATAAAAGAGAAGTTTCAGCAACAGAAACAACATTCGTTGGGTTGTTTAGTTGAACATTCTGTGGCGAACTTCTGACAGAGAGTACCATTTGAGTTCAGAGAGCTATAGCAGCTGCATGAGCGGCGGGAGGAGGTTGTATTCTCGCCATTATCAGGCAAAAATGAAACAAATGTTTTTCGAAACGAGGCTCTAGACCAGCGTCCACCGCTGGCACCTGCTCAGTCCCAGTCCCAGTCCCCATAATTGAAATTCTGTTCCGCCGTTCTTGAGTTGTAATGTCGAGTAGAAGTTTTTGTTCAATCTTTTCTAGTTCCCAGTTTTTGAAGTTAAAAGTTTTGTCAACTGAACGTGTTGGTCCACGATTGTTACTCGTAACCGAAATAACACCAGTGGAATTTTGAAGATTGACGTTTAGTGGAATACCAGAAGTGGATTGCACTAAATGAAAAATGAAAATTATAGCCCAAATACAAAACATTTCGACGAAAAGCTGAGTCCAAACGCTCAAAAATGATGTAAGACTGCAACTGATGTACACTGATTCATTGGTATGTGGTCGTTTAAACATGCATATACTTTACACACACACACACATATATATATGCTTTTGTTGATATGCGGCTTAGAAACAAAACTGGAAAGTTGACGCAGATAATTGGAACTTAAACAACAACATGATTCATTTTGTGACACTGTAATAAAGAATTTATTACATATTTCGGTATTTACGTTTAAAGTTTATAAACCACGTGACAATCATATGATTAAAAAAGCTCTCGGTAGTTATTTTAGAGAACTGTGTTCTTCTCCGTGTGGATGTTTCATGGGAGAATTTAGCCTTCCCCTGACTTGATTAATAGCCAGACTACTGTCACTGAGCTGGCAGCAATATTAATAGATCCACCGATTTGTGCAAAACAAGCTGATGGGAGCATCAGAATACTTTTTTATTTTACAATTCTTGAGAGATTCCTGAATGATCTCGTCCAAGTAATGGGCTCCTGCCTCGTCCTATAATATCTTCTACTAGATGAACTGTTCACAATTTTAATTTTTCATTTTAATTGAAACATTCTGATGGCACAACCAGAATAAGTTTTGATTTTTACGAATTCTTCGGTGATTCCTGAATGATCTTGCCCTTACATTTATTATTTGGCTCAGCTGACAATGATATAATTTTCCATATCATACGAATATTTAGAAATATTGCAAAACATTGATAAGGATATCTTGTTTGACATCGGAGAGCTAAGTTTAGCCAATGAAACATGACCATGTCGAAAGGTGTGACGTAGCGGCTAATTAAATTGATGATGCATTTACTACTCCTAACAACAGAGTGAGATAAATTTGTCGTCTTGTTTAGACGAATACGCGGCAGGTACGTACTCATGCAGCGTCAGCGGCAAGCTTATCACCCAACCGTACATACTTTTGCATCAACTAAGTTTCTCTTAAATGAATTAAAGGAAATGATGAAGATGGTATGAACTTCGAGAGCGAGTCATTGAATTTAGGTCTATCAGAAATCTAATCGAAAATAAAGACCAAATTTCCATCCAAAAAGAAGAAATGAAATAAAAGTCTTCGAAACTGAAATGCCGACGTGAATAATTATCCAAATTAAGGTTAAACAATGAGCGATATTTGTGTGTTACGTTATCATATGAAAGACTGCTTTCAAGCAAAAACACATCGAACCATTGCGACAGCTGGTGAAGCCGTTCATCCCGCAGCGCTAATGAGAGCCTTTCGCATGAGATGTGTGCTTAGCAAGACAATTAACTTTCCGTAAATTTCCTAGTCAGCCATGGTACAGATGATATGTGATACGAGCCTGATGATTTATCTTTCGACGCGTTTTAGATTGTAAACATCACAAGACCAACTTCCCTCAAAATGTAATTTATAGTTAACAAAAGTCTTATATTTTTGCTTTATGCGAGAGAACTTCACGGAAACTGGTCATTGAAGTTTGGAATGATATTCACCATTTAACGCTTAAAACTAGAAATCAAAATAGTCACAATGACACAATAAAGGAAGCTCTCAAGAGCTTTTGACAGCACTCCCAAGAGTGACGAGAGGCATAGTTTTATTCTCACTGATAACGAATCCTCTCAAGAGTTTTTTTCTTTCTTTATTTGCAAGGTGATGAGCGATAATCTGGTACAAGATTTGGATAAAAAGCGGTGGATTGAAGCAAGAGGCAAATTAAGACAAAACTTACAATGATCGTGTGTAGCGCCTGTGATAGAGTAGAAGGACCGCATCAAATGAAGTGATATATTTGAGTGCCCGAGTTCAAGGAGAACCTTGACATAGTCTCCTGAAATCATGAAAGTGATTTATGTGGTTCTTCTATTGTGTCTATTCTTCGGAATTAATTAGGAGTGACAAGTCAGACCAAAAACGTTTGAAGATCACTGAAACTCGTTTACTTTTCTTTTCAAGAGGATCTTTCCTATGTTTTTGCCACATCTGTCTGAAGTTGGATTTTAGTACTGAAGTGGTACGGTGTTCAACATCCCTAATTAATCGACACACAAGTTGTAGCTAAATGCAACAACCCATTTACAAAACCGAAAAATTG